GAGCGAGGGAGATGTGCTCAAAAGAGGAGATGAGAAATGCGGAAGGTGGTATGGTGGACTGCCTATATGACTGGTGGTCAGGTTGATAGTTATCATTAAATTGGTTGTGTGGTCTGACTTGTGAGCCAGGCGAAGGCTCACTCTCCTCTCCTTCTTTCTAAATGCATTAATGTTAACTACTTTGAGACAATATAAGTTGACTATTACCTCAGTGATGGCTGATCCAAGTTATGATTTGATGAGAGCATCAAGCGTTATGAGCTCCCTTGCTGTTTCCTAAGTCTTTTTCAAGGTTAGTGCGGTAGTGTTGGACTTATGTCCCTGCTGCGCCGTAGAGCCGAGACTTTGCGAGCATGCCCCAGGCTGTTGAGATTTGTTTGCTAAGGTAGTACAAAACCACAAACAACCACCTCCTCACTTGAATCATTTCACAACGATCATTATTTGGCAGTAATTGTGTGCCGGAAAACAACGTCATGATCTTGTTGTTAAAGCATGTAACAGACTTCTAAGTTCTATTTTGAAATGTGCACTCCATATCTACACCGCAGGAATCTGCTCCTGTAGCGTTGTCAGTCTAACTGCTTTGTATGGGCGGCAGTAACTCTGAAGACAATCGCGCATCTGTTAAATTGGCTGACCTCTGAGCCATTGCAGAGTTTCATCTCCATTTATGGCGGAGTAAAAGTATGCTAGCCAAGTCTCATGCCTCCCATCACCGAATGGGAAAGTCAAACGCACCATGACCACGAAGTAACCTCCGTCTCGAGATGATTTTTTGACAATTTCTCATCACTGCAACTGAAAGGACCACTGACGCAGCAATGAAACCAGTATTCATGCGAGAGCTTTATTGATTGTTATCAAAACTACGCTGGCACGCTCAAATTTCTACAAGACAAAGTTAGTACACAAGGAGTATACAAATGAACAGGTAGACAGGTCAGACGAGGCTGTATTGGTCCACCCCACGCTTCAGAAGCGCCCCAATATTGTTTAGATTGTCAATAAGGACGCTCAAAGTACCACCTGGGGTGCAACGCTGGTAGAGAATGCTATCATCGCCAGAGAGACCGATTTGAGCTGCAATCCCAGCGATCTCCTGAATCGTAAAGATACGACTCGCACCTGGTCTAGAGGCCTCACGCTAAACCAGTGGCAGTCAATGTTGAGCTTAAGTCGCAAATGAAAGAGGGAGAAAAGAGGTAGCTACTCACATGCAAAGCGGAAAGAAGACGCTTAGTGGCTGCAACACCCGTAGCAGACGCGTTTTTACGCTTCTTGGTTGATGTAAAGCTGTTTGAAATGGCATTGTTGAAGTCGGAGGGCTGTGATGTGCCGTAGCCCGTCTCCAACATGAGATCACACACATCTTGAGCGTCCTAGGTAAGTCCACAAGCGATTGTTTGAGGGTTTATATGAGTAGACAAGTGAAAGCAAAATAATTTGTTACCTGTTGTGTTATTTCCTCACGCAATTCAGCTCGGGCTCGGGCTGATGACAAACGAATGAGAGACTCCAATTGACGAATTGTAACCTGAAATAGATCGTTTTCCTCCTTCTTGCGCTTTCGGAGGTTTAGATAAAACCCGTGGATAAACTGAGCTGCCTCCGGAGTCATCCTAACGAATTTGAAAATTTCACGGCTCAGTGTGATAATAACGTCGAAATAATCACCAACACCAGTTACTCAAAAAAAAATTATGCAACTTTTAGCAAAGGTGAGACTGCATCGACCCGATATCACTCGTTGAAAAGTATAAAGCATAATCGCTTACATATCAATTATACATCGGTCTGTCAATACAATACCCTTCATGTGCGTCAAGCACCTTCGGCTTACTCTCGACCTTTAGGCCATAAAAACCGGTCGACCGCGTTTAATGCGAAACTGTCTTGATTCCTGACTGCTGTAACTTACTACATAACAGATGGAGAAAGTAGAGGAACAAAGCCTTCAAAAGCTGATCGTGCTACACATCTCCCAAGGGATGCATTATGCTCACAAAGATCCCATGCGCCAGGTCATGAAGAATGCTACAGAAATTAGTGAATAAGATGTCGACAATTTACGGTGTTGTGAGGGGAATGCTTAAACAGATCGATCGTTGTTAACTGCTTAATGCCAAAAAATTGCAACAAATGACAAAAAGCTCTATCCTTGAGGCATTCCTAGGGATAAATAAAGACCTCCAATAGCTAATTGAGTGGATATAAAACTTCTGCCGGCATTGCATAGGCCGAACGACAACTGACCTGGGATGAACGTAGGCTCTTGCATAAGTAATGTACTTCCGAAAGAGGTGGGGAGGAATGAGTCGTCGCCTGCCAGTTCCGATGCGTAAACGGTTCTCAAGGGACAAATCAGCGCAACTTGCACCACTTTCGGTTTCATCTAATGCGACAGAGAGGCCTATGGAATCGACGTCGTCTCGATTCATACTCTGTCCCATGTGGAGCGCCAGGACATGCTCTGATAAACGTCGATCGAGGCTTTCTGATGGTCGATCCGGCAAAATGAAGATTAAATCAAACCTAGGGGTGAGACAGCGTCGCTAAAAGTCGAGCTCACTAGGCATGACACGTTAGTCTCTTTTTATAGGAAAAAACCAATGTCTCTGCCTACACCGTAGTGAAAAGTCTGACGGATTGTGGAATTCACTTGCACGAGTTTTACCAAAGAAGGCGGAAATGAAGGGTTACCGTGAAATGAGAGACTTTGAAATGCGGACGTTTTCATAGATTGTCTTAGAGAAGTCGTAATGCCCAATGACGGGGTTGGCAGCAGCAAGGACAGAAGTGCGAGCTGCCAGATTGCAGACGAAACCACCACGCGCCACTGAAACGGTCTGTTGCTCCAAGACTTCCAGAAGTGCCGCTGGATCACAAGAGATCTTATCGAACTCATCGATGCAGCAGATGCCCTGAAGAATATCATTTCATGATGAAGGCAATGTCGTATCTTGAAACATTGGGGAAGTGGTAAAAGCTCAGTCTGTGTACAAAAATGCATAAGGGGCTACCTGATCAGCGAGTACGAGAGCTCCCGCTTCCAATCCGAAGGATGAATTGTCTCGGCAGGCACTCACCGTCAGACCAGCAGCTGATGTAGTGTTGCCACAGACGTAGACAGCCCGAGGTGCCACACTGGCGGCTGCCCGCAGTAACTGACTTTTTCCAATGCCTGGATCACCTAAGGTATTATGAGACCAGCATCTAGACATTCATAAGTTTAAGACCGAAGAAGGTAACGGCAATCGATGGTTAAGCACTGCGTACTTTCTGTTGAGTCGAATTGAAGTGGCGCATTAAAACGAAAATCCGGTCGACAAAACTATTTACCCACAAAAAGAACGTGTGAGGAGCTACGTCGCACAAATGTATCCTCATTGATCGTTGAAGCACCAGGTGGAGCAGACGGAAGTTCCATGCTTAAGGCATCGTTAGTCACCTCATCCTCCTCACTTGAGGACATCGATAAGTCGGGAGACTTTTCACAGTTTTTTTTTGGGAGTTGTGCCCGGAGACCCCAAGAATTCGCCGAACCACCGAAAATAGCCAACAAGATGGCCATCTTCACAAGTTCTCGACCGCATATTGAGGGGCAGAAGGAAGCAATGAGGAGATTAAAGAGATGTGATTCCTCCGCAATTCCGCGAATTGCATATAGATCACTTAGTGAAAAGTGTATATCTAAAAAAATATAAATGCTGGAAGAACGCGTTTCAACAGCATATAAAAACAGAAGAGCTGAAAGCGTAGCAAAGCGGCAAGAAATACTACCTGCAGTTTGGATATCGTTCACGCCGCTCAGATTCTTCGCAGTAATTGCCTCGTTAATGCAGGAATCCTGACGACGCGTAGTCAGGCATTGTGCTGTTTTTGCACAGTCACTGCCTTCTCCAGCTCGGCTGTAGATTCTCGTCAGATTATTCGCGCGCAAGCAGAGATTGAAAACGTTCGTCTTACCACCGGGTACTTCCTGTGCAGAAGTGAATGGACAGCGAACTCCACCAGAATAAAAAGAAGTAGTGTCGGTTGTGGCTGAAAGGAGGCTAACTACACCACAAACATGGACGAAGTCACCGGGTACACAGGTGTCAACAAGGTCTCGATCAAGGAAGCAAATGATGTTATGTGGGACCCGGCCGGTTGTTGATGGATAATCCATATAATTTTCATCTTCATCTGATTCTTGTAAAAGTAGTATCTGAGCGAAAAGTAAATTTTAGAAGTTTTAGTTCAAGCAACTTAAAACAATATCCAGTGATAAATGAGGACGTACTTGTGTATCGATGACAACTGTAGATGGGGAGGAGAAGGAGGGATAAAATACTTTTGAACGACATCCTTTTTCCGGACACTTTGTTGGATTAACAAAACAGCCAGTCTCTTCAGTCACTAAAACTTGCTCACTTTCACAACGTGCGCATCGAAAACAGAGTCTACAACAGAGGGGCCGAATCTGCAGTTTAACAAGTGTGTAATTTGCTACAAAACCTCACCGGTCCAATTCTAGCCACTGCTGCGCGAAGCGAGACCAGATTCCCAAGATGATGCGCCCTCAAAGTACGCATCGGAATTAAGAGGTGATGATCCACCAGACGAGCAGCTATGTAATGTAATTTCGCTTCCTTACTCGAGTCAACTATAATAAAATCGAGGCCAAATAATGGTGAGTGCCTCTAGTGCATAAACAAAGCCTAAGTTCACTAACAAGAATTCGCATGAGTGACACACAGCTTTTTGGTAGCTACTGTATGAACGGCAAGTCCAATCGATGAGAGTAACTGTTTGGCATCGAACATCTGCTTAATGTCAGGCTCAGGAGGCCAGCCAGGTAGCTCCTGTACCAGAAGTGATGACGACCTAAGGGATCCAAAGTCAACGTTAATAAATGAACACTCCTCCACCGCTGTCCAATCGATTAAGGAGCACGGAGAAGTGCCATTAGTTGCCTCTGAGAGACATTCCTTTTCAATGAACTCGACGAGGACCTATGCAAATATGTGAGTAAACAAGGGCATACTTTGGTATATTTCGCAGCGACGCTGTCAGGCTCAAAGACCAATCCTGGGAAATACAATAACCAACCAGGATATGGGCAGGATTGAGGATGTTTAGCAAGTAAAACAGGCCCTTTGTCCAAGACGGACGGATTACTGGGAGCTAAAGACGCATCGTCGATCGAACGATGGACTTTCGAGGAGTTCCAAGAGCCCCTATTGCTTCGGCGACCACGCAGACGCCAAAGATTGAAACTTTTGCGACGATTTGACTTCCATTTAAAAAATACTTGTGAAAAGCGAGTACTCAGTATTGGCTACTGAGGCTGCAATAGTTCCGGTATTAAATGCATGGGCCGTCCAAGAACAAAACAGCGTATAAAATCAAACAAACAACAAATTGATACAAGACGAGTAGTATTACTGATGATGGGAGCGATCCCATAAATAAAACATCTCAACAAACGCCTTGAAGGTCAATGGAATCCTAAGCAAATGATTGTTTGGAAGGTAACTGAACCGCAAATGAAAACTTCACTGATACTAACAAATTTATGAGGCATGTAGACAGTAAACCTGGCCGAAACTAGCAACAATAGCTCACCATACTGAAAATCGACTACCCAGACACGATGCTCGTGTTATCGAGGCATCAGCCAATCAGGGGAAAAACGGCTAGGACCAAATTTCAGCGCCACAAAACAAAGTTACTCATTTGTGGTCTAAAGCCTAATTATCAGCTTTCTAATGCAAGAAAGTTTACTGAATCTCGCTACGTTAAGAGAAAATGTCTGATTGGGTTGTATATACTTCGTATGAGTAATTTAAAGCAGGATTGATGGCGTGCTTCATGAATTGGATTCTGCGCATAAGTGGACACTAAAAGACATGATAATCGACTAAATGCATAAATCTAGGATGGACTAAGAAAACCAGAAAGCCATCCTATCCGGAAAAAGCAATTCTGTGCTGCGTCGATATACTAATGTACAATAGCCGCTACAAATATTGGAACCTCACCTTACTGACTTACTGACTTCTCAAGATCTGTTTTCTTCTGTATGTTCCATTAGGCAGACACTCTGTAAGGAACTGAGTGCATGAGGATTTTATCCTCCTCCCGAAGTCACGCCGGTGTTTTTGACAAGTACGGCGCTTTAAATGAGAGCTCGCTTCCTGCCTACAAGGCACAAATCATACAGCTCACGTGAATTTAGGCTAAGAACTTCAGATTCAATGTCTTAAGAGTACCCATTGTAGAACTTGTAATACCTTGTTTATGTGACTACCTGACGTTCGGCGGTGACTTTAGGATTTGTCTTTCCTTGTCCACTTTAGAATACATGTATCCAGCTTCACTTACTGCCTTCTTCTACCATGTGGGAAATCTCGGGACGCTACAGAGCTCGTTACAATACAAAAACGTGTTGGAAACTCCAGTGTAATACTTTGTTTATGTGACCACTCGATGTCTGGCGTTACTCCAAGATTCGTCTGGCCCTTATGCGCATGAATTAGACTTCGGGTCAAGGTCAGGTTTAGTCCCGTTGTTCTCCCTGGAATACATGCATTCAGCCTCACTTAGCGCCTTCTTTTACCCTGTGGGAAGTCTCGGCACGGTACACCATGACCTCGTCTGTAAATTGAGTATCCTGAACCTGACAGTTGGTATAAAAATTGGCCCTGGCATATAGCTGTCGAAAGGCAGTGAACTTCTCATCCAACACTCGCTGCTGTTTGGTCTCATTATCACTCTATGGACTCTAGCGCCGCAAAAGCTCCAACTCGGTAATTGAAAGCATGAAATTTGAATGAATGAATGAATGAATGAATGAATGCATGTATTTAGGGAGGAATGGCTAAGGGCCTAATAGATTAGAATGAGTAGAACGAATGCCAATTATCCAGAGAACCAGCCAAGCAGCGTCACCAACGTCACTCGCTTGGAAGCATTTGAAAAACTTGAGTCTTGTGCCGCGGTAATAATCGCTCCTCTCCCATGTCACTTTGGCACAGATGGAATTTTAGGCTTTGGTAAATGGAGGAACCCAGAGAAGAAGTCCAGAGAATAAGAAGGAGGCCATGCTGGTAGCAGCGTCAGCGCACTTTCGACCCCTTAACAAAGAATTGAATTTCGGAGAATGGTTATTAAAAATAAAGTAAAGAATTGGGCTTTCAAATAAAACACAGAGTTCCTATTTTCCTCCCAGCCATTCCCTATGATTTTCTTAGAAAAGCATTGGAAGTGAGAGTGCTCTACACCTCCGATGTAGACCAGTGCTGTGGAGAATTACTCAAGCAAGCTTTCATTCAAAAAGGGCATTCTTTGACTCGCGAATCCTTCCACTGTTTTCATAACCAACACAGCGCTTTCCACCAACAGGGAGCATTTTAAACAAGTAAATATGTATCGCACAGTTCCCCTTTTCATTTTATTACCGTCCACAATGCCAACCTTTGACCATACACTATTAATAGTAAGCCAAACCGCGAAAGTTGCAACGGTTGCTTCGATTAGCGGGCGTTGGTCCAGTCTGCACCTGTTTTGTATGGTCTACCGTGATCGTCGTCCCCTCTTACTAGATCGCGTGCTTCAGGATCGTAAATGATCTCCGGCGGAAACAGCATTTCTCCCGGTTTAACGCCGATTCGGCTTACTGAAGACGGCTCAACACCAGCTCTATTGTAGGATATCTCTACCAGAAATGAGAATGTTTTCTAAGTAGATAATGCAGTTTCCCGAGAAGCGACCGCGCAAAGCTGTCCGTTCTAGTCGTTGAAGTAGCCGCTTCGTTGTAGTCCAAGTGGCATTTTTTGGAATCCGAAAAACCTACGCGATGCGATGAAATCTATTTTCCTTTATTACTACCACTTCTACTTGCCCGTAGCTGAATCTCAAATCTAGCTTAGAAAACCACGCAGCCTTCGCAAAGAGCCCAGTGGGTCATTAATGTATGGCAAAGGGAAAGCATCCTTCTTTATCAGTTTCATAAAATCAACAACCAGCGTAGAATACCGTCGGTCCTCTTCACTAGTGCGATGGGGAATGCCCAGGGTGACTCAAAAGACCCCATGGCATCGTCACGAAGCTTTTCATCGGCGAGACAATGTACTTCGTCTAGGAGATGGAGTTGTATGCGTCTGAGTGGTTATCATAGGGGTTTGGTTTCTGAGTTGTTGTTTAGATGTGAGCACAGTCCTTTCCTCCACATTTTGTAGCTTGTTTCGATTGAGAGAAGAGATCGCTGCAGCGAATAGAGAATTGTAGATGTCACCTGTATCTTTTCCAGAATGGGAGACAGAGACACCCACATTGGGGATTTGATCATCATGATGATGATGCCTCACAATTTCCATGATTACTTGAGACCTTCGTAGAGAACCCGAACCCATTATCACATCCCAAGCGAACTCCAGGCATAATAAAATTTGCGCTTTAGTTCTCCTTTTGATCGTAACTCCTATGGGATCTTATCCTTTTACCAGGATCCTCCTTCCCTCCGATGCGCGTACCTTTGTAATCAACGGGCAGATCTGCATCTCGCTACAAGGCATCGGAAAAGTCTGTGAACTCAAATAAAGACCCAGTCGCTCCCAGTTCAGAAGGCAAATGCATGCTTTATCTTCCACTTTACTTGACACCCACATGAATGCATGAGTCGCATAAGAAAGAAGTCATAACAACGAGATATGGGGGCCACCAGATTCAAGGAAGTCTAATAGAAGAGCATATCATCAATCAGAGAGTTTGGTCCATACACGGGAAGTTCTGAATGACGACCTCAAACCTGCAATTCTCAATGTTTGGTCGTCACTATTCCAACAAGTCGACTGAGTTTCTGTGATCCGACGGAAGGGAGTCGTTCCGCAAAGCCAAGCGAGTGAATGTCCTTTCTGAAGTTAGCAGACCCTCATACCGAGATCCATTGAGGGAATTAGTCGTTGAGGGACCGTTCTTTAAGGAATTGAAGGCTCTTTGTAATCTCTTCATCATCCTTGCTAGGTTTCAGAGGAAGATCGAACAGATCTAGGGGTAAGAAACTGCTCCCTCAGAATAAAGGCAAACTTGGATAACTCTTCCCAGCGCTGGTCGATATCGAGAGTGGGAGATACTTCGACTTTTGATGTCTCACTGAGAAAATCGTATAAAAGAGCTCAGAAGAGAATAGGGAATGCGTTTCATCCGGGGTTTTTCAGGGGAAGATCTCTGTGCAACCTTGTTCTGCGTTCTACTGGTTGCAAGAGTGAAGGATGAAAGGAAAGAAAAGAAAAGTGTAAGCGACGTCAAAGCAAACCATCTTACACTCCGCAAAGCAAGATTTCAGAGCTGCTTTCCCGCCTCCCATCTACAAGATCATTTTAAAAACTTACTACGCGTTACACTAAGCATCATAAACAGCTTACCATATATTTAATATTGAGTTTCAAGAACAATCTTGTTTGCTCTATTAGCGCATTTCATCACTGTTGCAGTTAACAGTATTGAACCAAACCAAAGAAATTCACGCACTTTAATTTTATTTGAACCTAATTAATATTAGACGAATTGGAAACTTCAAATAAAGACAATGTAAGTGATAAGTGGAGAGTAGGCATGAAATTGGTCTCATTGATAAACCAAATAGAAGGAAGAAGAAGGCATTGAGTTGGGCTGAATACATGTTTTGAGGAAAAGAGAGAACTGAAGGCTGGTTTACACGCACAAAGGCATGGCGAATAGCAAATTAACCGCCAGACATCGGGCAGTCACATGGACAAGGTTTTACATTTTGTCTTTTACACTTTTTATTTCTGACTACGTAAAAAGAGGTACTGTTTAAAAAGGGAAAAAATAAAGTTGTGCAGTGGGTATTCCTAGCTTGACCATGAAAAGTGCTTGGTTCCTTAGTGTCCGCATTAGCACAGCGCTTCCACTCTTATTAATGATGGGTGATGGCAGTAAATTCGTCCAAGATGATGCGGCGCATGCTGTGATTCTCTGAATGATAGCGGGTGGACTAATGTTTGAGTCCGTTTTCTGGACCCATGCGCGCAGGTCTGTTGTAAGGACATCGCCAACGAAGGTAAGGATGCTGCGGCTTTGCTCTTTTCCTAGCCAGGGGATAAGTATGCAGCGATGCTAAAATGGCAAGAGTCCAGATTGATTGCGCTTGTCACTCTGGAGACGAGCATGAATACTCCCTTTAGCACAATAAATGGATGCGTCAGAAGCTTCACCTTCTCCCTCCAATTATACGTTACAAGACCTTGACGTCGAAGTCTTGGACTCCACCGCCGCCGATTAGCCGCCGTTGAGTAATGCAAATACATCAGTCCTCCCACCAGGGCTTGAACTCACTAGTTACCTGACTACCGAGATACGTGTAAAGATCCCGTAAACGACCTTTTAGCACAAATAGATATTCAGAAATTGGGATTGAATGACAAATTGTTATTTTCTACCTAACATTGCTACAAGAGCTTGAGGGGCAATTTCGAGTTTACCCAAAACTGTCGGACAGCCTACTCGGCGCAAACAATTTATGTACCGATTCAACATAAATGTATCTCAATTGCAGTTACGTCGATCCATAGGTTAAGCATGTGGATAATTGTGCCAGCTTCTAAGCAGAACAGCGAAAACTTTCAGTCCTCATCACTAAACGTGACCGAGATTTAGAATTTTTAAAAGGTGTTTTATGTTTCAACCATTTCTCCTCAACACAGAGAGGAAATCCACCGATATACAAATAAAACTGGACACAGGAAATTACCATGAGGAAATGGAAACTGATTCACCTATGTATGTTGGGACGTTCATTCAAAGCATTCCAGAGATCCAAGAATTCAGAACTCTGAACAGATTCCACACAAGCCTGCCACGATTACGTAGACAAAAGAAGCACAATGCACTACTCCCAAAAACCAAAGATCTCATTTCCGGATTCTTCCGCCAAAATCCTTACTACAATCGATGAGACCATTCGGTCCACGAAGCTATTCGCGCACGAGACACGCTGCAGCTGTAGCTGCTATCTCAGCGCCTCCATCCATCCTCAAGATAGCAATGGGTTGGTGACAGGATCGCATAGATTACTATTTATCAGGCTAGCAGTACAGTGGCAGGCCACAACACAGAATGGGCGCGCAGCCGAAGAGGGTGAGAGAGCGAACGAAGTGCATCAACGGAAGTGCAAAGATGTCACCAACTTCTGCACACTTAAGTGCTCACCAAATCCATGCTTTTAAATTAACGAAAAGAACTAACTTCTAGGAAGGTGTGACTTTCAGTGGAAAACAAGTGCACCTTTCGGTTACCAAGAGCGCCTGAAAACCCACACAAATAATTTCCGAACGCTCATAGCAACTAGAGTAGAGTAGGCACCAATAGTTCGACTGAAGATATTAACAAAACGCTTTATTTATTATAAGTACGCGCAAAAGTCGATCCATTGACATGAAGCGACACAATCGACGAAGACACCTAAAACAAAGAAAAACTGTTATTAAGCCGAATCAGAGGATTACTTTGAACCTTGATAAAAGGAGGAATCCCTTGATAGTACGTTGTGCAAGAATGAAATAACGACAGGCAAAAAGGCTTAAAACAAAACAAGCGCCTCATCATGCCAACTGTGCAGTCCCATAATGCGTTCCAAGCTGAAGACGGGGTAACTCAAGAACGGTGCCGGATTGCACATGGACAAATGAAATCTATGGGGGTAGTATGTAAGGTGCTTCGGCTATTACAGAGTGTCAGCGAAGATTTCACGCCGCAAATTAAATAGAACAAACGAGTAAGCAAGAACCACAAGAACAAAGCTTGGTTAATAAACTTCTGAAAATGTTGTATCATGATGCACTTTAACTCACGATGAGAGCATTAACCAGAGATTTCAGCTGACGTTGGCTCTGCAGAAATTGAGGTTGCGGTTGTGGTGGGTCGAGCTATTTTCTCGGACGAGGAAGGGGACATTTTCCTCATGGAGGTGGTGGAAGCGGCAAAAGTAGCTGACTTCCCCGGGGCAACCCACTTAAGTTTACTTGAGGGTATGGGTACGAGGCCAGCCTTAGGTTTGGCAGCCGGTATAGGGTGCGCGAAGGGACAGGTGGTGCCTCTGTTCAGACACGCCGCGCCAAAACGGCACACGGGCACAGGAGGGTGATAGAATGGACAAGTGCCTGCGGGTAGCTTGCAGTGAGGGAAGTAGCGACATACAACTTTCGGAATGAGTGATGAGACAGTGGAGTCTGTAGGCAAAAGTAAAAAAAACGTTAGAAGTGTACTCCACTCGGCAGTCCACTATTACTTCATCAAAGGCAGATAATACCAACTGTGTAGCCAAACCGGCCTATAATGGATAAAAATGCGGCGTCTGTTCAAGTCTCATTGCACTGAAGTTTACGCGCAGACTTTGGAGTACTTTTGTTAATGAAGAGCTAATAGCCTAGAAATAAATTACACTTTTTTTCAGATTATGGCCCAATAAACTGCTCACACAGCTGCAAACCTTTGCTGCATTGTGCTCAGATTATATCGCTTAAAAACAAAACTACGATCGCATCAACTAAAGGATATAGCTATATAGCAGTCCTCAAACTTACCTCAAAACAAAGTAAACGGCTCGAAAATTCTAATACAAAAACAGAGAAGAGCAAAAACACTAAATATCCTGACCTGTGTGAGAAAATGCGCAGCCGGGTCGCGAGCACTGGGCACCATAGCGACAAGGAGGATGAATGTAAAGACAACGATCGCCAAATCTGCATGAAGGGAAGGCTTTGCACTCCTCCTTAGGATGGATGTATTGGCAATTCTCCTTGTTGCGACAATTAGGCCAATACTTACAGCGCTGAAGAGAGCTAAAGTAGTAAGCACCAAGCATGAAGGTTAATAAAGCAGGTTTAGATAACACAATTCACAGAAAAGAATAATGCGCAGGTGAGCATGCGAGTCGACCATGTAAAATTTTACCAGATCCATCCACAAACTTTGAGCGGATTAGAAGTGACTTGAAAAAAAAGTCTATACAGACTCAACTACTCAGAAATCGTAATGCTTCCGAAAAACAATGCTTAATCTTCCAAAGAAGTCGAACATTTTGCGGTGTAATAAATCAACTTAGAGCACTCATATCTAACATGCATGAATTCAATTATGCTACATATCTTTCGGTACTACTTCCAGCATCAATGAAAATTAAGAATTGTCTTAAGACAATCGCCAAAAAATTCAGGGTCAAAGCCTTGCCTAGGGATGTTGCTTCTGCCAGGTTTCGGGTCCTCTGATTTCCCGTCACCACTCTCGAAAGCGAAGATAGCATTGGCATCACTCTCAACTCCGTCTCCCCCATCCTCCTCCTCATCTTCACCAAAGGAATCACCAAGGATGATCTGCATACGAGGCGACTTGACTTGAGACTTCTTGGCAATGAGGATTTCGCGAGCGTCAAGCATTTCAACACTGTTCGATGTGTTGGTAATGGGCGCCACGACACGCGGTCCCAATCGGGACTTCACACTTGGCTTCAACAACAACGGCTCCTCACCCATGGTTACAACAAATCGCGTCATCTTCGTCGGCACTTCCACTAGATCTACTTCATTCACGCTCACTGCCGTCTTCTCCTGAGACACAGAAGCAGTCTCTGATCTGGGAAAAAAATGGATTTTTAAAGTGCCAATTAAGAAGGAACCATGTTGCGTAAGAAAAAAAAACAAATGTATGTCTACTTTAGCAGAAGATACGAAACTTCATCCTACAGAGGTGTTGCGCAGGTGACAACGAGACGAAGATGCATGATATCAAGATCTGCTCAAAGCTACTTACAGTTAAAGTCTTTTCAATTCTTGTTCGTAGTACTGCTTAAGTGTGAGATGTTTTAATATTATACCAGAAGAATAGCCCAGAAAGTGTACTTCTTTTAATGTATTCAAATCAAGATTACAGCGACAATAATTTGCAAGGAGATGAGAACACTTTAAAAGGCTCTTATAAAGCCACCAGCTTCATTACAATCGAATATTCCAAAAAAGAAGAAATAAGACGAAATCTCTCACTTTTCAATAGGCCGTTTTTGACCACGAACAACGGCGGCAGGTCGTTCTTGAACTTGAGCAGTGCTGGCTCGAGCCTCATTCATTGCACGTTTCAGGAGCATACCACCAACGGCTGCCGACGTAGCCGTTGCAATATTGCTTGACTGCGAAGGTGGAGCATTTGTTGAAACCTGAAATGTTAGGAGTACATTTTATACGTGACATCAGTTGGAACATTCGCCACCTAGTGCTATGTTTACTTCAATAGCTTATAGTAAGTAGAGAAAAAACTGTCGCAGGCTGAGGAAATGGGACTTGAAAATGAGTGTTATTAGAAGTATTACAGACCCAGAGGTAGCCGTGATGTAGAACGTACCCAGCTGTTAGTAGACCTCCCAAAATTTCGAGTGAGACATAAAATCATTGAAGAGAAGCTAAAATCGAAGATTTACCTTGACAACAGAGCGGACAGCTGGAAGCTCTTCAGAAGACTTCTGGGTGGACTTGCTACCAAGACTTGAGGTGCTAACAACTCGCCGTTGTTCTGTTGGTTTCAGAACAGAATCACGTTTACCGTCACCGGAAAGAGAGTGAGAGTTCTCTTCAGTGAATTCGTCTAAAATATTTAAAGCAAATCGATCCATGATACTTTCATCAGTTTGAACGTTTACCACATCAGCCACAATGGGTTCTTCAGAAGATGGCTTGACTGATGTGATGGGAGAACGAGACCTAGTACGCCTAGATTTACTCGAGGACACCGACCGATGCGAAGATCGCCCTGACCTTTCTTTTTTCTGGCTCTTGCTCTGCTTCAAGCACGACTTTTCACCAGCTGCATCTTTTTTGGAGCCTAAGCAAAACAATTACGAGGTCACCACAACTACTTCTTTGCTGAGTTCTCGAATCTAGAACATCATGAAGCCTCAAAAGGCAAATAAATTAACAGCGCCTTACCAGTCCGTAAACAGCTCTGTCTGATTCCCTAGAAAGAGCTGCAAGTCCTTGACCATGCTGCTACGCTTCTTTTTATTTGCAACCATTACTGTTATGTAGTCCGGCAATTCTTCGTCAGCAAAAGCTCCGAGCTCGCTAAGCTTTGCTTTAACGAGTTCCTAATTGATGGATATCATAAATTGCTGGATAAAACCTTTATTTCTGAAAGGAATTCGGAACTATAAGGCATTATTAGTTAAATATGACGGAGCTGATATGATCTTAAAGGCCAATGGCGATGAGGCTAAAGACAAACAGGGACTTGGGTGTCGCAAACATCATTTTCATCTTGATTTTATGCTTAAAAGGCTACTAATTTGTTGTAATTCACCAAGTATATTTGCCTTTTTCATGGCATCATCTGTTTGTTTAAAATTATGTTAAATAAATTCTGACAGTATTTGTCATTCAACACCTTCATTCTATATGCATTGTGGCTTTTCAAGTCAATTCCACACGTGTAAGTAGCCAAATAAAGTACTACATGGGAGACTTTGACAATTCCACTATAGCAATCAATTAACAAGGCCTGCATATGTATTGTAACACTGCACCTATTATCCTGCCTATATATCTTCAGTCATTTCTGTGTTCATATGGCTTCTTCTGGGTAGGCCTGCATTTGGCCATTTGGATGTCAGCCTCTTTCCCTTTTGCATACATAAAAAACCTTTTGGGTTAGTCTTATGAACTATATTACCAAATAGAAAGATTCAGGGGGCTTCAGTTTGGGCTTTGCCGCGAAATGAATATTAGCTAACCCAGTAATGATTAATATGGCAGCCAGAGTAACACACTCATAGAATCCACAAATTATATATATAGAGATTTGATTGCAGGGTCCCGAGACTTCCTGGCCAGTATAAAATGTCAGTAAGTGCAGTTGGATACATGCGTTCCTAAGACGACAGGGCAAATGAAACTGGGCATGGCCTGAAGTCCAGCACACATGTATAAGGACCAAAAAATCCTAAAGTTACCGTCGAATCTCATGTAATCACATAAACAATGTATTACACCGTCCCTCTCCTCTTTAGAGCCGCGTCCTCGGCGCTCCCCTTTGGTACACCTCACGCACCAGCCATCACAACATATTCGGTACTACAACAAAGCACACACGAGCCAACAGCGCCAGTCAACAAATAGCATCAGACTGAGGAACCGGACCTGATCTCCTTGGCAACTTCAAATGAATCTGGAATTACGTTCGGTCTGACATCCAGATTCGGGGGTGCATACATCTGTCGACCATCAATTACTTCCAGGACTAGACGGTGGAACTATGGTCTAAATTATATATGTTACAGGGAAAACGAGATGAGCCACTGTCCCTTAAACACGGATTTTGAACGGGAAAATCCGACACTAAACTTTTCCAGATAGTTCACGGCGGTGTAACTTCACTTGTTAATAGCTTGTCTGTGGGACACGGGAATAAGATGAAACCAAATACAGACGTTCATCTAAATCCTTTTTTTGTGAAGGATTCAGGGATTCTCCGTCACTAAGGTAAATGCGCCTCCCTCAATTCACGTCCTCTTTTCGCCTTTATCTTCATCTATTGCACTTCGGTAGAGTCAGACTTCCTTTTATGCATGCATAGCTCATGATTGCCGGTGCACAACGCCAACATGGACTTTTTGATCTTGGAATTCTCCACTAAAAGTTGAATACCTTTGGATTATGAACTTCTTGCCGTGAAAAGAGAGGTTTCGACTTTCCGGCCAAGGGAACCCGATTTTGGGGTCGAATAGACTATCAGGAACATAGATACCCAACCCAGAGCATCGACACCAAGAATAAGCAACATACATCTCCAGATCCTATGCGATTTGTAGGTACTGAAGCATTGCATCATACTAAAGAACCATTACTCGTCGGCTTGTCCGGAAATCAGTCGATTAATTGGCAATATTTAACAACACAAACGTAGGATGCTAGTAAGACAGCGGTGTCTGTTGGGCAGTAGATTTTTTCGAACACTGTCAGTTTTAACGAACGACCAACGAGGAACAAGCCGCAGAGAGATACACATCGGTTTAAAGTTGTAAAAAATTGTCGGGCTCGCTTTCCGCTGCAATCAACATAGCATCCTGAGACTTCCTAGCCGGTGTAATACTTCGTTTATGGGATCACATAACGTTTGGCGGTCCCTCTAGGATTTGTCAGGCCTTGTGCACGTGAGCTGGCCTTTGGGCCATGCCAGGCCCATTTGCCCTGCTGTCTTCAGAATACATGTATCCAGCTGCACTTACTGGCTTCTTATAAAGGCCAGGAATACTCAGGACGCCACAGCAGGTATAAGGAGTCAGTAGGTGCAGCTGGATACATGTGTTCCAAGGACGACAGGTCAAATGGTCTTGGGCCTGTCCCGAAGGTCAGCACACGCGTACAAGGGCCAGACAATCCTAAAGTAACTCCCAAACGCCAAGTGGTCACTTAAACGAAGAATTACAAAGGTAGTCACTAGGCGTTGGATATTGACAGAATTTTGACCACTGTAAATGCCCATATGGCTGTCTGAGCACTCAGCTGTTATGCTTTGTTTATGTGACTACCTGACGTTTGGCGGTCACTTTAGAATTTGTTTGGCCCCCGTAAACGTGGGCTGGCCTTCGGGCCACGCTCGGGCCCCATCTGCCCTGTCGACTTCGGGCTACATGTATCTTAACCTCACTTATGCCTTCTTCCATCTTATGAGAAGCCTCGGGACGCTACATCGACATCCCCTACATTTTTAAGGGGATTACAACAGTCATATTAGTTATTTAGATTAAGCTAAAATTTTTTTGAAATTCTATTGAAAAAGTATTTTTGTTGGAATGCAGCAGTTTTAGAATACGTATGTCGTAATTAGATTGTTAAAATGGATCAAATATACCGCTGTAAACACAAAAAGGTCATTTCCAAACAGTTTCGTCCGCACGAAGGGCGTATGACTGGAGGACGTAATGAGTTGGTAATGCAGTGCTTGCATCTTATTTGCACAGTCCAAAAAATTTTAGCTGTCTGGCTCCATATTTCGATGTTTATGAAGGCGAGCTGAAACAGTTGATAATAGACCTTGATAAGCTTGTCGAACGGAAGAAGCTTGAATGGAGTAACAGAATTAGAGCAGCTGAGGCGAAACTAGCTGAGGAAAAACGGATGCACTGTAGAACGAGATCTATAGTGGCATTGAAGGATGTGGAGGTTGGTTGCTTATTGCTTAGTTGACAATAGATTGTAAAATTAAATCAACATGCACAATATCTGAAGGAGCGCAATGAAGCAGTGAAGTTGGATTACGAACACCAGATTGAGAGTCTTAAAAATTCGTCAAATTTAATGTCAGAAAGTCTTAGCAAGCTACAAGCGAAATATGATAGATGGAGGTCCCGATGCCGAGCTCCGGGAGTTCACAGGAGAAATGTTGGGACATATTGCAAGTAATTTACTGCAGTGAAGTGTAATTATTTGTTGCTCCTCGACTCTTTATTCACATTCTTTTCGATTGCTTTTGATAACTTCAGTAATCCGGTTGATTGCAACACTGCTTGTGGGTATGTGCCCGCCGTTCCGGTCGATATTTTAAGGCGTTTTGACGAAATCGGACTGCACATTTCCGCAAAGACTTCGGAAATCAGTGAACAAAGGGCTCAACTTGGTTCCCTTCAACGCGACCTTTGCGCACAGATACGAAATGTTGAGCAGCAGCTTCAAGAACTACTTGCTTTGAAGCGTGTACAAGTGTGTTTTATAGTTTCTCAATGGCTTCTTTTCGCTCCTTGATGCCTTTGTGGAATTTCCTAATGTAGTGCGTTGATATTCTTTTGACTGTTAAGTTGTTATCTACAATTTGGTAAAAATTTGACTTCTGTTCTTTGTCTGCTTTATTCTCTGAATATGCAAAATTGTTTCGCTTAATTGAAACGAAATCTTAGGTTTCAGCTTACTTAAGCCGCTTTCATATATTTTATAAAACTTATTTGCCCGAGATACCACAAAATAATGTTCTTCTTTAGTTGCACGTGCTTTTCCCTAGATTCCGAAATCATACCACCCATTGTCCGCTGCTTTCTGCTTTAAGAGACCTGATTACAGGTACACTCTATTACTTATCCCAGGCTATTCGTTGGAACTTACATTACTATATTTTAGGATGATGAAATTGGAGCTCTAAGGCAAAAGGAGAACAAGCGGCCTGCCACTCGTAACTTTAGGCTCCAGTGGTCACCACAAAAGGCAGAAGTTTCCACTGGTGAGGCTTCCACGCAAGTTCATTTCAAGCTCGATGTACAATGCAAAGCCACAATGACCAATATCAAGTATCCTGGTTCTTCAAAAGCCAGTATCATTATAACAAAGCTCGAGGATGAAATCTCACGGAAAAACGACCACGTTAGGTAGCTTTGCTTTTCTGTTTGTGGTTTTATTCTAGGCCATAATTCACTGCCCTACTTTGCTTCCATACTATTAGGAAGCTAATTTTTTTAACACTTTCAGGTGTTAAAAGTCGTTTGTTGAGTTGTTAAATACGCATTTTCTAGTTGTTGAACCGCTTCTCATATTGATGTTGCTTTTTCATTTCACAACATCGAAGCAACACGCGTATGCACTTCACCATTATTCTTTGTTCAGAGAACTGAAGGTGGCTCAAGATGCTGCATTGAAGCTGATAGAGGAATTAAAGGTGGGAATCGAAGAGAGTAAAGCAGCCCTCGTGCAAAAGTGTGGTGAATTGGAGAAGGAGAAGCTCCGACTACGGCATCGCGAACGGCAGAGCTTTCAGTCAAAGGTGTCGATGTTTTCTCTTTGCAAATTCTCAATGGACTTTGCGTATCGTTGGGTGATTCCTTATGTATTTTAGTCATGCCAATCCGAGCCAGTCGGATATTGTGACCGTGGTATTAGCTGCAAGCCTGTTTCAACTCAGACCGCAGAATGTCAGGTGAGCAGTGAAGTTGCCTCTCTGGCTCTGGTAGCATCTTGAATATTCTCATTTTACGTCCCTAAATTGTTGCGTCTACTTGGTGTATTTAAGTAAAGTTTTCCTTCACTCATTCAGATACCCGAAGTTTTTATGAACTCCTCCATGAACAATATTCCCGGTTTTCTTGCCGAAGCACTAATGGTACTGGACGGGAGTCGCTGTCTAGCGTCACCGGTAGCTCAAAGAGAAATTGAGTTGACGAGTGCTGCGGAGCTTGGACACGAATCTCAAAACAAGCCTTCCAACATCTCGAATCTTGAAAACGGTTCCCCTTTGGCCACGCAGACGGAAGTGAGTTTCGCTGCCACTACAGCTGTGTCCTGTAATTCAGCAATTTAGGCCACATGTTTAACGCCTTGAGGAATTTTAACTAACGGTGCTGTAATGTCATCTGTCGGAAGACTTGAGTGGGTTTGCATCTTAATCCAGTTTTTATTTCCATTAAGAAAAGCACAATAACGTAAGGTCCTTTCTGCTATGTGACATTTGTACATTTCCTTTAATGATTAAAACTAGGTTGCTCCGACGGATACCCTTATTAAAGGAGCACATTGATTTTAGCATTCGTTTTTATTTCCCAGGCCTTTGTTGCTAATACGAAATTTGGAAATCGTCTGCCGTTTTTAGTCGTTTCCTTGAAATTTTGAGGGATTGGAGTGGCCACTCACTTACTGTACTGTATTAGCCTTTTACGTGATCATCAAGAGTTCACTGTTAACTGCAAATTCATTTTAGCTGTCTTCACCTTGCCGCAACTGTTTGCTGTTTGTGCATTAGCAAAACCTCTGTAGCTTCCTTCTTGGGAATACACTCCATTTCCCACTATTTTTAATAATCTATCCTGTCTCGCAGGCCTCATCGTAGAAGAATTGGCTATTTCCCAGTGTTGGTGTAGACTCATTGCTACCAATTGCATATCGCTTTGATTTTAGGTTAATGTGTCTGTGGATATTGGCGATGCCTCTCACGAGGGCGGTACAAACGTCCAGGCTCTCCTGGACGACTGGAACTCTGCTGAAACCCAATGGATTAGCCAGCTAAGGAGTAGTGTGGGTCTCATCTAATTTTAAAAGTGATCGTGATATGTACCACTTTAACGTTCACAATTTTATAAACTGTCACAAAGGCTGGAACAGAAATGACATGACCAATTGATTTGTCGAGAGCATAATTTTGCCTTCCTTAATAATAGGCGGCGGTAACTTCTTCAACTATTTGATTTTCCAAATCGCAAATTTTTGTGCAATGTTTGGGAGAGTTTATCAACAGCTTCATAAGCAATGGTGGCAGTTTGAGTCGACACTTCTTTGTTTATAAGTACCGGTCTGACATTTACTAAGAAATGGCTTATTTCATCCTGTCTTTCTCCAAATAAGTAAGTTTTGTTCTTATTCGAACGTAGTATTCGCTAGTTTGAGGCAAAATACGAAGTGGTGATTGTAGCTGGTAATGAAGGTGGTTACTTGTGTTCCATTCTTATCAGCGAGGTTACTGTTTTCTAGTCGGTTCATCTAAGCCCACCTCAGGAAGTCGCAGTACGGGCGAATCAGACGAGTTTGACAGTCAGCGACATCGAAGGTTATCCCGCCGTCGCTGTTGTCACGGTACCTGCCACTACTGTGGTTGCCATGACCTCTACGTCTGAGGCAGCTCACCATGCTCCACTTTGGTCGTCAAACAAGGAACACGATTTGGAACTCATGTATAGGCAGGCCTGTGCCCTTGACCTTTCATATTATTTGCAACTTGGTTTAGCACTTTCGATGTTCTCCCATACCCTCTGTGCTAGTGCGGGCCCTCAAATATCCTTTGCTAGTGGTTGAAAATGCACTCTATTTTTAGAAATTAGTTTTTTTGGATTTCGTAGTTATGAATAATGCCTTCCTTATACAAATACAAACTGTATGATAACGTCTATATGATTTGCCATATTGCTAAAAATGCATAAATAATAGGGTAGCAATAAGTTTTGCTTTTGAATTAGCATTTCTTGCCAGTTAACCATATTTAGTTTCGTTTCAAATAACCCTTCAAGTCGAGGCTTGGTGAATGCGATCTTGACAGCCTCCTTGCAAATGTCATGCCTTAATTTTTCCCCTTTCAAATTAATGCTTTTGAAAGCGCAGTCGCAATTAGTACCAACGTTAGTCAGTTGTGGCTTTGACAGCTATGCCAAGCAGACACCAAAAACAGCCCATTCAATGCGCCTGGTCCTTTTTGCCTTTACATCCAAACCTGCGAGTCTTGGTGAATTCCTTTTGCATTGATTATATGCGGAGGGTGGGTGTTTCACAGAGGCAGCTGTTCATTCACTTTTTACCTCGTCTTGGACGTCGATTCCTGCGTACACGAATCCGTGCTCTCACCCGCTATTTCAGACATGAATGTTTATTCGAATGAAATGAATTACTTCAAGTGCAATCTTCTTGCACGATTTAACATCAGCATCTTCTGTTGGGACTTGACCTTCGTATTTAAACGCAACGCAAAAATGGAACACAAATAGTTTCAGGAATACCATCAAAGTTGTTTTTGAATTGAGCGTGTGTTTGTATGAGGGCTGTCTCATCGCTCTTTGGTTGATAGATCGACATAGTGACTTGAGGTTGGACTGACTATTTTGCGCCTTTCAACGACAATGAGCAATTCGTTGCTTTCGGAAGCATAATTTACTTTAAAGAGTTTTTGGCGTCGATGTATTCCGGAATTTGCTCACTCGTTACTTTAACCTTCTTCAGGAAAATTTATGACTTACCATCTCAAAGTCACCAACTTCCCCCATTCATGAAGAGTATGTCCCCATGAATGGGGAAAGTCGGTCTACACCAGGTGTATTGAAATCGTTTATTTATTTGTTGATAGAATTGCAACAACTATTTATTTGGCAAACACAAGCTTTGTAAAGTTTCACCTTATTTCATCGCTTAGGCATTTTCATCTCATCTTTTTCCCCATTCTCTTAAGGAAACTGCTGCAACTCACTTCTACATTCGCTTCGTTTTTCCTCCCAAACTCGTTGTATATTTGAACTTTCTTGATTACCATTCTTTTTAATCTATCTATCTATTTTCAATCTATTATGTGAAAAGATCTTCAGGATACCCCCTTCAGAAGTGTATTGTTCATTTGGAGGATGCATTTACTGGCATGCTAACTCACTTGGCTGTCACATGGCCATTTTCTTATAAGATATTTGCTTCTATTTCATGTCACTGTTTTTGTATGCAATGTTTTGTGCATACCTAATTTTTTCACTTTACTGACCAAAAGTTCCATTCGCTGGTGCGTGAACAGCGCAGTCTCCTTCGTGCATAGGTGATTGTCGGGAATAGTCGCTTGACTTTGTTTTTTATCCACTTATTACTTTCACGTTGTCATCCATGCCTGTTTTTCACTAGTTATGGTTTCGACGTTGTAACTGGTTTTAAGTACTGAATGCTCTTCAGTACTTTCTGGCATTGTTCTACTGTCTAAAGTGACTGGATTTTGGTCGTAAACTACAAGTTTATTGGGACATCCGGTACACGGTTTTTTCCCTAGAATCTGCCTGCTAACCCATATTTCATTCCACTATCAATGCAAAATATTCGCACTATTCTGCCATCCGTCGTTTCTTTGCAGTTTTCAGTTGCAATGACAAATGGAAATAGCTTGATTATGATTCTGCGTCGGTAGTAGGTCGAAATTCGCATCAGTCAACGAGTTCTCTTAGTATGCACTTCACTCCAAGCATTAAGTGATGTAGTATTTTGTAAGATCTAAAATAAAAGGTGGGTTTGTTTTTGAGCACTTCTAAAGAAGAATTTAGGTTTTTTCTTTGTGCAAAGCTGTTTATTAGACAGTTTAAATAAAAGTTATTGTAGTTTGGATCATGTTGATCATTTTTTTGCACAATTAAAATCCGGTAGAATTATTCTTGCCCTAATGTTGCAGGAATTCAACCAATCGTGATCAGCAAGAAGACGGCAAGCCTTCATCGGTGGATTTAACACCAGCAGATTTTACCAATGTCTCACCGACTAATGAACATAAAGAGTTTGAAGAAACTTTGCATTTGTTTGGCGGTGCTGCTGAGCCATCCTACTACACATCAACCTCTGCATTCGCTAACGGTGGCACAAAGAACGAGGTGGGTTTTTTTGTTCCTCAAGTTAATAAAGTATCCAACATTTGTTACTTCACTTACCTCGCTCTAAAATTATACGGTGAAGCCATATTTTGTGCGATCTATGTGAGGGAGCCTATCTATGCTGCTCCTGATAAGTGTGTTTTTGTTTCGGTCTTCATTACTTTGTTAATCAAACTTCCCATTCTCTTCTGCTCGAATTGCAAGGCAATTGAGGTAAAGCTTTGAAGTTATTGGGATCGTGAGAACTCGCGTTTTTGGGGGGTTCTTTTTACCATCTGTAAAAGAACTTACCTTTCTAGTTAAAGTATTTAGAAAAGTTGAAAAAAAAAACATTTCTGTTGTAGTTTATGACCGTGAGGGGTATTGCTCCATGCCCTCCGCATGAGTCTCGCTTAAACGGGTTCGGGAAGTAAATTAATTTGCTGCTGAATCAGAAGCGACCACATAGATGTAGCAAAAGAAGTCATGAATCTTGGGCAAAATATACGCCTTGAGCATGTGCTGGGGCTTGAGTCTAATGGCATGGGCCGGAGGTCATCCCATCAGGCGAAACTGTAATGGTGGTGGATCTAAATGGCTCTTTTACCAAAAAAGGTCATGTTTCGTACCACCATAAGATATATTAAATAGCATGGCGGTATTTGAAATTCTATAACATGCTGCGTACTCTGTTAGCTCCCAGACAGCAAACTTTCGATGTTGCGATTCCTTCCTCCTTATCGTCTTTTGAGATACGGTTCCATGAAAAATACTTGCCTCTAATTTAATTGGTATTAGATGACCACAGGCGATTTGGGATATCGGTGCTCGTATGTGTCAGCGTCCTCCTTTCCAATATGTAACCATTGAATTACGAAAGGTTCGATAACCTGTATAAAGAAATTTCATGGACGTAGCATTGTAACAGGAAAGTTTGAAACGAAACCTGCGGAGTCTACAAGTTCAAGTGGTAAAATGTTTAAGTATTGGTCTTTTACAGCCCAGAAGTCCATCAAAAGGTCGAGGAATCCTTTTTGGCCTGGGCACTTGGAACGATGATGACGTTGAGCAGTTGGCAGTCCACTTTCTGACGACGGAGCGCGAACACTCGGCTTCCCTTGAGGCGGCGATCGAACGGCATCTCGAGGACCTGCGTCTCGAAGTCGTCTCCTCAAATCTTCCTCTTGTGCCTTCTGCGCAGTAGGCCTACGAACCCTCTACCTTCCCTTCCGTTTTTCATTTTCATTTGCTTGCCAACCCTTCTGTCCAGTATGGTCTTTAGCTGGTGAAGCTTCGACACATTTTTTTTCCACTTTGATTATCTCCATAGGGCTCCGTTTTGTGCAAATGAAGTTTATGAATTTATTATCCGAGTTCTTACTTGTTTCTAATGAATTCTTACACGGAATAACTTCGATTATATTGCAGGTAACTAGTGTGGATTTCATTTAATTAACATCTAAAACATTGTTTTTGTGGATGTTTACAGGTTTTATTTCATCATCACCCTTCGTCCAGTAAATCTGCCAAACGATTTGCATTAGTTTAAGGGACGTTTGCATGATCGGCTGTAGGCTGTGATGGGAAATGGTACAAGGCTTTTTAACGACCACTTTGCAGATCAAACTTGAGCTATCCAAAAAGTAAGAAAAGTGTCTCTAGTAGAAGAAGGTTGACGTAAAGAAGCTTTGACCTCTTACAGGAACAATTTCTCCCTCACCTCAGCTGCATGCGCTCGAAGATACCGCTCATTTCTAGCGAGCATATTTGCGCGAATGTATCCTATTGCACATATCCCTGTCGGCCCTGGGTGATTACAGTGTTTCCACGCGCACGGAGGCACTTTATTAAGAATACATAAGCTACTACGATAGATTCTGGTTGCAATATCCTTTTGCTCAATCGCATTTATTAGCGCTAATGCACATAGAAAGGCTAAATCCACTAAAGAGATGAGGTAAGACTTTACTGACGTTTATGGACGGTTGTGGTAATGTTGTGTATTTGTTCATTCTTTTAAAAGAATAAGTCATTTTGTGCCCTATTTTTCGCCTAAACCTAGGTAGCTCACTTCTCTGTGAGTAAGTTATTATCCTTAATCCAAAATTCTTAACTTACATAATCGCAACAATGTGCTTCAATTGTATGTACAGCTTTCCCTTTAATGGTTTTCTTACTAGCTTCGATTATCCTGTCCGGCGAAGACATTCCCTGCAATTCTACCAGTTTTCATTATTAAAATAATGGCGGGGTATCCGGATGGTCGCCGTGGCCGCCAGGACAGTCACGCGCGTCTCTTGACAGTCCAATGGGGAGGTCTAGTGCGTGCCCGCCATTCGACCAATAAGATCCCACCTCTGGGGCTAGTTCCTACCTTACCAGAAAACTTTCAGTGGGGCATGCGCATCCATGTCTTCCTTAACGTCATCATCTTCTGCCATCTCCAGTTCTGAAGAAGATGTGAGCGAAAGGCGTCAGGAAGAATTGGAGGGTGCGAATGACCATAAGGAGGCCGTTGAGTCGCCTGATAGTGCTGGTGTAAAAGTTGATGAAAAAGTTATTGATGGAGGGGAGGAAAAGAATGCTGAAAACAAAGATGAAAATGATGACAAGGACTTGGTCATTGAATATACAGTCGAAATAAACCAGACAGAGGATAAGTCGAATGAAAAGGAAGATGATTTTGTATCCTACGATGTGAAAACCAAAGGAGGTGGAGAAGTGGAGCCCATCCCAGAGTCAGCCAAAATAGAGGCTCATGAATCTGAGCCCAAAGAGCTCCCAAAAGAGGAAATGAAAGCTCCTGCTTTGATGTCAGGGGAAGTTCAACCATCACCACAGCCTCTTTCAAACGGCGAGGTGGTCGAAGAGGTTCCACGTTCCGTGAAAGAACAGGTTGCTATTTTCTCAAATCTTAACCTACAAAAAGCGAGTGATGCACCGAAGCTTGTCTCAGTGAGTGGTTTTGCAATCGATCACAGCAATCAAAACACCGCTTCAAGTATTTCTGTACTTCCCGCTTTATCCACACAAACCCCAAGAGTCGCGACTATTTACAAAAACGTATCACCGCAACCGTTCGGGTCATCTGAGACCAACACAAGTAAGCAGGCTGATCGACAGCCCACGGTGCATCCGGTAAGCCAATGCGATACCACAATGGTTGAGCGACCTCAGCAGCTGGATCGGTCAAACGATCCTACTCCACAGTCCAAGAAATTTGGCTTCAAAGCAGTCACCTCGACACCTCCAATGACTTTCTGTGTCCCCTTCGGGGGTGGTGGTCAATCTGGTAAGTCTACCGAATCGCCAGTAAAGGAGGTTTCGCCGTCACAGTACTTAGGACCTGGGGTGATTTCTCAGACCTCGCGACCCCCCATGATGATCCGCCTGCGTCGTCCTGGTTCTGAGGCGCCATGGGGCTTTGCGATATTTGGTGGCGCCGATTACGGCTGTCCACCGTTCATAAGCAGGGTGCGTTCGTTTTTTTTCCCCATCGTACCTATGTTATCCACTGGTTCCGATCTGTTGGACGCAACCAATTTTTTCTTTGTGTCATGACTGAAACCACTGACTGAATATGACTTCAGTAGGAATGTTTGGCATACATCAACAAGTCATTCCCAAGATGTTACTTGAATGTGAACAAATTAAAATTCAGGGCACTAATAGAGTCAAGGTCGCTGCATATGTTCATCGTCTGCCAGGTTTTAAACCAGTTTTACGGGGATCCAATCTCGCGTTCACTCCTTCTCACTGCTGTTCCCGCATTTGAGCTGCCAAGCTACTTCTATCCTAATTACCCTCATTTATTAGAGAGGTGGAGTAGGTATTGTGAGTGCGCATAATTGACTTCTCCCACAGCTACCGTAAACAGCTTCGACAAAAATTTATTCCAGATATTTCACGACTTGTGCAACTTTAATTGTAAACACTTTTCAGCAGACGACGGAATCCAGGTGGTTGGCAAAGGTAGACGTATCAGTGAGCACTTCTTGCATTGTGTTAAGATTTCTTATCCATCAGCAGAAACAAGGGCAACTGTCACTTAAGACTGCGATCACCTCACCGTATCACTTACACTACGTCTGAACTCACCATGAGCAGGGAAGAGGACCTGACACTGGACAAGGAGGTGTCCTCCGATGTAACTCGGAGGTCAGCTCACTTGACGAAGCGAAGCAAAGCAAAACGTTGAATAACCGGCCTACATCTTCCAGCAGTCACCCATTTTAAAACGGGCACTTCTGCTTGCTATAAATTTTGCGAAATATTTTCTGAAATGTGCGTCAATTTTTCAGTCATTCAGAAGTGTTTTTAATTACTTCTTTTTAATGGTTACATCCATCTAAAAGTGTGTCAATGACCGTTTCCACTCCCTCTAACGATGTAATGTGTGGTTTTTCGGTTCCAACTCACTAAGGTGGCGTGCTTTTTGGGTCTTGGCTGCACGTCTTTGAGGCATCTTTTCAAGATATGCGTGAAATTTATTGTATCATAGTTTTTGCTTGCTTCTGTCTAAATCGCTAGCAACATATCCTTGTGTCAAGCCAGAGTTGACAATTTGAACGGTGTAGCAGGGCATTCTTTTGACACCACCAATAGGTTAAAATAGTCGCTTCAGGGTAGTCGTCTGATTTGGCTCCAAAACAATTTTGCTTTCGATCTCCACAGATGGAGACCTGATTGTTGTCACCATCACTGGCATACTTTCAACAAATCTGGTACTAACAAGTTGTTGCAATGAATCAGTTGGATTATGTTGAACGCCGTTTTCGTGTCTTCTCATCTCTTCTTTTGTACAAATCCAGCAATTTGGTAGATTGACCTCTGAAAAAACGACATCTTTATGCTTTGAATAGATGGAGATAAATCGCAGACATGAGCTGGAAATTATGCTTTTGACAAGGTGGTGAAATGCCGCCAAGACAAAAATGGCCAAATTAATGCCTTTGCCTTTTTTGTTGGACTGAGTACTAAGTCGCCCCTGCAGCAACACACTGCAACCCATTTCACTTTTGGCAGCATTTGCTACCACTTATTAAATTCACCAAGTGCACTCTCGGTTGCTGTCGGTTTCGCGGATGTTTCCATCGGCATTAGCAAATGATTAATGTGAAATACTTTTGATTAAAAGTTAGCTTTTGTTTCATCCCTTGTACGGCAGAAGTCTCGTGTTCCTTCAGTTTTCCAAAAAGCCGCCCCGCACTCGGCAAGTTCTCAGACCTTTTTGCAATTTGGTGTGAACTGTTCGTGGTGGTTGGCTTTGGTGTAGTTCAGTGTTGAAGCGCTCACCTTTTGGAGCTTGTGAGACCAATCAAAGAATTGTTAAGGTCACTCAGCTGTTTGTATTTTTGTACTTTTAAAATTGTACCTTGACCTTGATGCTGGCATTACCGAGGCAAACACTGAAAGACCACAACTTGGGGCAATGCAAGTCAAGGTTGTAATCTCACTAAACTACACTTTTGGGAGGCAGAGCTTTTAGTTTGAACTCTAGACCATACAATTACATTCTTGAGGTTCTCTAGCATTCTTACTGACACCAAAACCGTGTGTGTATGTGATAGTGGTGGACTGGATGCGGTAGTGCGGTGTGATGCAAACCCCGTTGGCTTCAATTAAAGGTCCTGCATATTACATTTTGGTTAGTATTCATTGTGTTTTTTTCACTTTCCTATTACACATTTTTAACAAGCTCAGTTTATTGAATCCTCAAGAGAAATGGAATGGTTGTTGATCAAGAAGCACATTTTGGAGATAATGGCATTTAGAGCACTTTTATCACCATGCGCTTCTTTTTTGCAAATTTCAATTCTTGCTTTTCATTAGTTGGGGCTTCGTACCTACAATAGATATGGAACCGAATGCCTGCAGCAGTCTCACCCGTTGTACTGGCTCTTGTCATAAGGATGGCCACCAGGGAATTCTAGTAGTATCGAGCACTCAAAGACTTCACAAATATTGACTTCCCTTAAAAATTAAAACCTGCGTGAGGGGACTTTTAAGTCGACCAGCTGAAGTGAAACTCTACAAATGCGAAGAGGTGCGCGCCTTCGCCCTTTCCTTCAACGGTCGCCGATGCGTAGTGTTGCGACCCGCCTGCGCAATTGCCATTCCTCGTAGAGCTCGGAACAGAGCCGCCACGCTCAATTTGGGCAGCAGAGCAACGTCTCTGTGTGGCTCGAAGCAAATTAACCCCTTATGGTGTTAGAATGCTAAAATCGACTGGAGTAGGTCTTAATTCTACCAATGCTCATAGTTTTACTATGCTTTTTCCAGTATTCAATTAAGCGCCCGGCCAACACATGACTTATTTTAGCCAAGGGAGTAAACAATCAGCATTATGGTATTTTGTGAAGATTTGGGTTGAGTCTGAAATGTTCAGAGGAAATTCAGGAATTTTCTATCTTTTTCTTACAATTAACTGCTCTTTCCTATACGATTCCAAACTCTCCACCATCTTATTTCAAACTTGCAAGTCTTAAACAGCATTAATGCTGTTTATTATTTACACAACTGCAGTGCATAGTTCAGTAGAAGTAAACAAACTGGTATCAGATTCTGTTACTGTCAACACTTAAAGTAATGTTATGACACCATTGTAAACAATTTCTCTAACACTACGAATAAAGTGCTATGCTCTCCACAGTCCCCTGCATTCGTGCATATTTGGTCTTGAAAAGCTGGACGTTGAAGAGAATGCTCCCACTTGCTCACACTTGTTCAACACAACCTGTCCTGGTTTGGAATTTTAACACTAAATTTGTGTCCACTCTTGGAGGGTGGGTGCTACTTTGTCATTGGTACCGGATTGATGTGCTAGAGGCGAATCAAGAGCGTTAGTGTGAGGTCTGTTTGACCTCCTCGGCATTCATTGTTTGCCATTTTAAGGCAACCCTGCATTTTAGCTTTTAAATTATGCCTAGCGCTTAACTGCTTCATGGAATGGGCTAGTGGAACAAAAATCACGTCCTGTGCAGCCGTTTCTGCCTTCAGTCACACAAAATACGCTCAGCGCTATGCGAGAAAGTGGTACAGCATGTAGACGTGATTTCTTTCAAGTCTTTTCTACGGTTTAGATTTTTTACCTGTCTGTAATCAGTCTTTTAGTTTAAGCAATTAAGTCACTCATATTACCAACCTGCCTTAATATATTTATATTGTATTGGTTTAAAAGTCCTGCATCACGGTGCAATGAGATACTACCATTTAAAACACTGAATGCATGAATGTTGGCTTCGTAGGTCACACTGCATAGCATTGCTGCAAAAGCTGGTCTAGAAGTTGGCGACGTTGTTGTGAGCATCTGTGACGCGCCGGTTCAGGAGAAGGAGCACTCTCGAATCAAGGCAGAAATTCTGCGAGCTGGGAATGAACTGGATTTCTTAGTCGTCAAGTATGCTATTTACCCATTTATCATTAGTCTTCCGGATTGACTTCTCTCTTACCTTGACTCCTGCTGTTGTTTACCGCATTCTCTACTATTAATTTCATTTTAGATTGGTCAAAGTTGTAGCACAATATAAGCTTATGTTATTTCCCCGTTTCCTCCTTCTCTTGCCCTACTTCACACCCACTGTTCGCACCTTTATAAGCGCATGCTCCTTGCAGTCTTCTTAAATTGCTACTTCAAGTAGTACTCGAATTACAGACACCACATTTGGTTTTGTTCTATGAGCTTTCCGTTTTGCTCTCAGGTGATGATGAGGTCCTTAGGCAATATCATGCTCGTGTAGGCGCTATTAATGTCCCATTTTCGCAAAAACATCGTGGATCTGGTGGGCACAAGGTCTAAAAGTGCCTTAACTTTACCCAACATGACGCGAACATGGCTATCTAAGTTTTTAACTGCTTTGGGGCTTTGTAGCAATTACGAAGTAACAGTAAGACAAATATTGCATCTTCGGTCTCGAGAAAACCAGTCCATTCACAACCGAACCGCTTGAATCATGCTGACACGCACGAAAGGGACCAACAATTCCGATGCTTTGGTGGTTCTTACATTTCATTCGATGTATACACCACATATTCGACTTTACATTTGGGATTTCGACTAAACCATCCAAAGCTGCAGAGTCAACGCTGTCAGTGTTAATGCCAAACCTATGGTGTCTGACGCAAGTAATCTTCCAATTAACTTTGGTATGGGCGTAGACCGATTGATGGAGATTTATTTTCCAGATAATGTACGGCACTCGATCTATACATGAAGATACTTCAAGATCAACTTGCATAGGGAGACTGAAGAGGTCCGCATACCCAAAATCATTGAATCTAGTATAATCTCATTGTACCACTAAGATTGAATTATTTTTTATGTGATCCAGGCAGGGGATTGATAAGGACGTACTGGCCCAGAGAGCACCTCACCTTCTGCGCACCCCAGCACAAGAGGTGGCCTACACCGGGCAACCACTCAGGGCGGCTGGCACGTGGACGAGTGCTGTCAGCCCCACCCACACCGATAAGGCTACACGCACGCGCTCCTTCCGACTGCTTGACGAACATCTCAACGCCATGAGTGTGCAGCCACCACAAGTGAAAGTAACGGCATCGCAACCCGCCAGGGTCTTCTCACCTGTGAGTCACCAGTCTTGAGGTGTTGGTAGAGGCGAGGCGAAGCGCTATCTGGGCGACGCAGTCTAAGAAATCGATAGTCATTTCTTTCCTGTTTGTGTTGTTGTACCTAAACTTCAAAGACTACTTTAAAGTTTTTAAAGTCCTCTAGTAAGTGTACTTTTATTTCAATGAACCGCCTTGAAAGAAGGGCTTAACTTGGTTAACCAAACGTCTGTGCTTTACAATCAATAAAGCGCACTGCTGAACATCCATTTTACTGTCATTCAGTAGAGCGGTCCGTAAAGCATGCTCCTGCCTTTATTTGTTTAATCATTTTAAGCTCTCTTTGTGTGTCGCAAGCTTTTCTGATAGTATCGTTTGTAAATTGTGCAGTTAGTTATTTGTGCAGCAAACGGACAGGGTCATCACCCATCATTTCTTACTTTAGCGTCGTTCATTCAATCACCTACTTCTGTGCATGAGGAAATCGTAAATCTTGTTTTACTGCTGTTCCACAAACACATTTATTGAATTATACAACAGTCTGGCAAAGCCCATTTACTACTTGAGAATTTGTTGACCCCTCAAGCCATCACCAATAAGCTGCAAAACTCTAGAATGAGTGCCATAGACTCAAGTTTTATAATCAGCCTATGCACAATCGCTGTAATGAACAAACAGCATCACCAGAGTTGGCCTTTTTTTTTTCGTTTTATGCTTACGGCTAATCATTCGAAGATGCCAAATGGCTAAGGTGCTCAGTGAGTGGGGAAGGGAGGAGAGTGTGTTGATAGATAGGTGGGTGGACAGATGGTACCATTAAATTTGAATTTTTTGTCTGTGTCTTTATTTGGGAGAATATTAAGATGATATCACACCAATACGTACACAGTCATGACCTCTAGCCGTCTGGCAGACATGCCTTTCGCAATTCTACCTGAATTTTGCAATTGCTACAGGTATGCGAATCTTTGAAACCAGGTAGTCGGGATTCTTTCCACATTAATGACTGCTGCGGTTGTCGTTTAGCAGTTAATACTGGGAAAGATAAGCTTATGGGAGAAATTCGCAATAAAGTTGTCGTAATTACTGCATTGAAGTATGTTAATGAAAACGCAACAAAGTGCAGTTGATCAAGATTTTATTTCTACTATAAAGTGAATTTCCAAAGTGAAAGTACAATGAAAGAATAACCTTATTATATGTCAGACACAAAGTTACCATCATGAGAGCACACCTCGGTCCAGCTACGCAACGGGTCGAAACCAACAGACCGTCTACTCACCTATGCATTCGCCCAGCATGAGTCACGGATTCTACGGGCAGCCCCAGCCACAAAGTGCATCGGAAATGAGCACAAATCGCAGCCACTTCGCTACCCCCGTTGGTTTATCACAGGGATCCGAGGCGTGGCGTAACACGAGTCCCACCCGAGGCGGCAATGACTTTCTCAATGCGCCGTCCCATCCGGGCACGAGGTCTTCATCGGTCAATCAGCAAATGACCTACCAAGAGAGTAGAAACGCTCTTGAGCGCTTCAGCATTGATGATCCGAGTCTCATGACTCAGTACTACGGCACCCAGCAGACCTGTTATGCTAAATATCAACCGCAGTCGCAGCACCACCAGCAAAGGATGTTGCATCAGGAAAGCAGTTACCAGAGCAGTAGTGAGTGGAACAGAATCTCGCCACAGCAATCTGTACCTACCTCTCGTCTTGTCTATCGACCTCCAGTACTTAATTTCGCCACAACTCGGGAGACTAAAGACCAGTTTCGGCAACATAATCCCAAGCAACAATACAACTTTATTTCAGGTTGGTTTTGATCTGATAGACTGTCAGTGATATGTTAATTCCTATTCTTCTTTATTTATGCCTTTAACTGCGATGTACCAAATCTGTCCTCTGGTAAAAATTCTATGCGTCACATGGAGTTCTGATGGCCTCCGAAAAGTATTATTGGCTACGGAAAATCTGTGATCATAACAGTCTTGACATGGTACGGAGAAGTGCTGGCTCAAAATATGCCCTTAGGTAGGCGTTCTATGGCTTTATGGGCTGAAAAGACAAGTACAGATGTTGTGTTTGGTCGCTTATAACTCGATCTGTGTGCGGTTTAGTGATAACCTGACCGCTGGGACAGTATACTTAATTCAGGCAAAAAACTCATTTCATCCAACTTTACAACACTCCTTAACCTCTATCCTAGCCGCTATATCCCAAATTACTGCAAGATTTTTTCCCCACCTTCCAGAAATGACGCAAATTTTGAATGTGAGCAAACACCTAGGAAGTAGATAAATATTCTGCCATTCGAATGTTTAGTTTCTAATCATTAAAATGTGCTGAAAGTACTTATTGATAGTATTTAAGTTCTTTGCAATTAGACAACAGGGAATGACCAAGACACCATCGAGGCTACAATTATTATACCAGTCCACTAAGCCAATTTTTGAGACTATAAGGTTTATCGCTTTACAGGATCGAATTACCAAGATCAAGAGAGATGGGCAACAGCAGGTTCTGTTCAAACGTTCAATACCGGATGGATGTGAAACAAGACCGTGAATTGCTCGGACACTTTCGGCCCCTTGAGCTCGGTTTTATCTGCGCAGCTACTTTCCCACTAGTGCAAAACTAATCCAAGAGCTTACCCTAACGCTAATTTTGCAGCTTGAGCTACAAGTCATCCCAACAAGTGCACCACCTTTCTTCATTTCAAGCGTTATTCGCTAAACTTATGCATCCTCGTTTCAGCAGCTAAATGGCTTTGAATGTGCCTATTTTCAGATAGCAAGAAAGGGTTTTCGTTATCGTATAATATAAAACTATTATCCTTGAATGCCACACCCCCTTCTTTGATAGCGCGTCACCAATCCAAAACTCAATGGCGAACCAAGCATAATAAGTACTGTTTCCCAACGAGGAGAATGAAATGTCTTCCCCGCCAAAGGAATAGTATACGAATAGCAGTGTATGAAAAATGCGGATTGAAACCCACTTAGGTAAGTTACTAAGACTGGGGCGCACATTTGAATGAAAGGTCGATTGGTCTTAACGTTACTTCGACGGATGGTGGAAAGAAACACGAGTAGGAGTAAGTCTAGCTTACCATATGGTAGTGAGATCGCTTCAAATTTTTGGTTTGTAAGGAATGAAAGAGGGCAATTATAGGCGCAGAGGTTTGTGGAAAATTCGCTAAATTGGTTCGATGTTGAGAACACAGCTGGAGTCGAATTGCTTGAAATCTTTTGCAATTCTATGGCCTCGTAACATCTCAGGAGTTTTGAATTTCTCATATAATAATTTTTCATCTGCTCTGTTGCTGTGATCCATCACGATTTCGTGACAGTTGAATGTTGAATCTGACCTCTGCTACTGAACGCTGCACATTAAGCGGAAAATGAGCATATGATGCATATAGGAGAATCAGTCATGACCAGTGACGAAAGGTCTAAGAATAGCTGCTGTGTTTGCTCCCACTTCGCTCTTCAGGCCTTTCAGCTTAGTTTTAATAAGTGAGTTTGGCTCTGAAATGGTTCATTTGGCATCTCTAAAAGGACACAGGCTGAACGGGGAACTGAGCACATTCAGAGGTGTGTGCAAGCTAGTCACGAGAAAGCCGTTCAAACCTCACAAGCATGGGGTTTGTGCTGATATCTTGCCTCCACCTCATAATTCCATAATGAGAGAGTCAAACATCCAAACATCCAATAACCGATAATTATCGTGTCAAGGAGACATATAGCCTTTGGAGCATAAGACCAGTTTGGCAGAATAAAATTTTTGTGCATAATATACAGGGATTTAAGGTAAAGAAATAAAAACATGTCATTAGTAATAAGGCTCCCAAAACTTTATAACAGAAATGCGTTAGCATCGTGATTGCTGCAATCTTAAAAACAAATAAACCTCACAAATCCAAACGCTACATGATAGATAAAAATTTTGATAAGCTTCGAAAATTACCGCAACTTAGAAGTATTATCCTACACAATCATGTCATGACAAACTCAAAATCCTACTACTTATTTAAATATTTTGTTGAAGGTACTTTCTCGCAGGGAGCCAGTTTTGAGTGGTTTGCGGAAGAGCAATGCTTGGATCGGTGGGTGGGACTTTCATTATTTGTGGTGTAGCGTGTTGAGATTTAAGCTATAGTAGACGTTCAACAACGTATTATACAATGCATTTTCGTGACATTAGCCCATCGGTTTTTTATTGCTTCTTAATTGACTGGGTCTTAAATTAATACCTAGTCTCCTTTTTGTCCTGTAAAGAGATTTTAAGGTTCTTATGCTTGGCCATGCCTGCTTTTTAGCATGTCTCAATATTGGACGTGTAAAAAGCAGTGTTTTGGAGCTTTAAGTTTTCTGTTCTTGTTGCGATTAGCTGTGAGTAAGGTATTAGGGATATGTCTGCGTGAACTCGTTGAGTTAGTCGGACAGAAGCGATCCGGTTGCTTTTATTGTTTTTTGTCTGTTGTTAAGATATGGGCTGACCAACATAGGTACTATGTATTGTTTTGTTTCGAGTCTTCTTTTTGCTATCTCTCGACGTTATAGATAATGTGACATTTTTATTTAATTTAGCACGATGATCAAATAAATTCTGCTCTGGACTTACTACGGAGGATGCCTCCACAAAAGTTCGAACGCGTTCTACAATGCGTCCTCGACATCTGTCCACAGATTTCTGATGCTGTTCTCAGTATGGTTGATCAGCCAATGAAGATTAAGAGGGACTCAAAAGCCGGTCGAGATTACCTACTCTCTGATTTCAATCGTGATGGCGACTCGTACCGGTCGCCTTGGACTAATGTTTATGACCCGCCACTTGATGATGGCGTTCTTCCTTCGGAGCGTCTACGTGCTCTTGAAATCGATGCCAATAATGCCTTTGACCAGTACCGTGAGATGTGAGCCGAATTTTACTTCCCATACTTCCTCTGACATCACCACACCAGTTTGTACTTAGATGTTTGAACGCCTAATGTATCATCCTTTTAACTGACTCACCTTCTAAGTTCCAATTCGCCTGTTCCTAGGTTGAACTACTCCTCTTTCGGGCTAGGTGTTTGTTAAGCAAACCAAAATATAATCTCTCGGTTCTTTATAATTATTTAACTAGCTGCTATTGCTCGAATTTTCGCTTTCGTTTTGTCGCCGTGACTATTTTCCTTCGCTTGCCGTCTAGGTATTTCGAGGGCGGTATTTCTTCTGTCTACTGTTGGGACCTGGATCAGGGTTTTGCAATGGCGATTCTCATTAAAAAGACTGGAAACTCAGTCTCCGTTAGTGGGTCTTGGGACTCCGTCCATATCGTTGAAGTTCAGGTAGGATTGTGTATGAATTTGAATCTTACAAAACATGTTTGATGAAAGAATTTGGTCATCAGCTGTTACCTGTTTCCGAATTGTAAAATTTTGCTGTTGATTGTCAGTTTTTTGTTTGGTTAAACGTTTTTTTCTTCTTGATAGGAACACTCGACGGCCAAGACGGCCCATTACAAGCTGACAAGCACGGTCATAATGTGGATAGATACGAACACATCCGAGTGTGGAGCTTCAGCGTTAGGCGGCCACTTTAGTCGTATGAAGGAAAATGAGGTTACTCTTACCGATCAGAAGCAACATATCAGTAACATTGGCTCCATGGTAGAGGTATGCTATTTCGAATTATTTGTCTTTACTTCTTTTAAAGTCGCAATTGTTTTTGCCGCTTATCAACACTTACTAAAGGACAGATAGGTTTTAAATGAATGTTACTCTTGCCCGCACTCTGCATTCATAGATAAAATTTTGAGTATGTGCACAAGTTGAAACTCCCCCATTTATCATGCCTTGGCAAGTTGAACCGTGCTTAACCGGCTCTTATGTCAGCGGATTCAGGAATAACATTGAAATAGCTTGAAAAGTATCTATAACCTTCACACTCTATTGGATGTGCTCTTATCTGATTACTGTTGTCGTTAATTAAAGTCATTCGCAGCTAACGATGTTTCATTCTCATAGAAAGTCTGAATGCCATCGTACTGAGTATTTTTCGTAGGAGTAATGGGAGAAGCTGGTTACCATAGTCACCTCTTAGAAAACCACCATAATTATTTTCGTGAATGCCCGCTGTTGCGTAATCCGGTCCAAAGAATGGACACAACATTTCACTTTTTGTCGAACCTTTTCACAAGTCCATTTGTTAACGTAGGTACAATAGCAATCCATACCATCTTCCAGTGAATTAAACTAACCCAATCTCTGATGCGTTTCTAGCTTTAATACTTGATAAAAGCCTGGTTAATCCTCATGGTAATATTTTACTCTTGATACATCTTCGAGGTATGTTACGTCTGATATCTGAAATTCCACTCTTATATGTTGTTTTATGATCCCCCTATTTTAGAACCTCGAGAACCAAATGAGGTCCCTCCTAAATGATGTGTACTTCGGCTCCTCCAAGTCAATAATCGATTCGATGCGCACCTACCGAACTGCCGAGGAGGAGCAGATACATTTGCAGCTGGCGCGAGACATGAGTCAAGCCCTGCATCAGAAAACCCAATAAGAGGCCATCGCGCCCCTTCCAATCTTTCCATCGGTTATTGCCACCAAATTCGCTCTTTCTCACTCATTCTCATTCCGTTTCTATACCTGAGAGTATGATCCCAACTCCACTCTGCACCCGCGTCTTCTCTCTTTTCCTTGTCTAACTTTTCTACTTTGTCGGTCCTTTTGTCCTGTTTCGAAAATTCCACATGTGTGCGTAGGCACAAAGACTCACTCGCACACATAAATAATGCTCAAGTTCTACAATTGCTAGTATCGACAGTAACTACTACATCTTAGCTGCGGCTGCTCGTGATTGTGTAACCGCATGCTCGTGCCAACACGGCCAAACTACCCACGCACTGAAACGCCTTTATAGCTGCCTCCGCCTTTTATTGTTTTTGTTTCGTCGACTCCTTATTATTGGAATACTAATGATTATTTCCACTAAGTCTCTCCTACAATCTTCTTCACGATCGATGTGATGGCCATGTTTCCCGTCTAAAATAAGCTCAATCGGTACAGTTAAATGGGGCAAAAAGCGCAGCAACCTTATAGCTGTTCCACGAAAGTAGAGTGGCGTTGTACCGCTTATCTCTAAAAGTGAAAGACTTTTGAGGTTGTTGATCCGGCTTTACACAGCTGAATTTGGTTTCTGTGCCAGGGCTGAGTTACTGGAAGGGGTCTTCAGTTTGTCTGCCTCGAAAATAGGGTCGAATATGGCCAACTATGAACTCCAAAATGGTCTGTGGATGAGTTAGCGAAGGCAGCACAGTTAACGCTTGGTGAATGTCGGATTTCAGTCGCCCGGGGTTGCTTGCTTAGCCCTTGCGTGACTGAATCCTCAGCATCATACCTGTACCAAGCCTTGTCTCGTGAGGTTATGCTTCATGTAATAAATTCTTTAAACGCCATTCATCGTCTTCTTCATTTTCTTGCCTGGAGACAGTCATCGCCATGGTTACAATGAAAGTATTGCAGTGACTTTGTCACTTCCAAGACACGATTGTGTGCATGCTTTCGTGATGCACAACAATTGACTAGTTCTCTTCATTATCTTCTTTGCGTTTCACTTTTTGAATGTTTGGACAAGTCTTCCTGAAAAGCATAACACTTCATAAATGGTCCAACCAACAACTTATGCCAAGGGGAATGGTTTTTAAATAGTGTGAATATTTTGTCATTCTTATTAACAGATTGTGAATGAAGATTATTTGAATACAAGCTGAACTACTCGCACATTTTCACTGGGTCATCAGGCAAATTGTAGAAAAATTGTCCTGCCATTTGATAAGCGTGGTCTAGGTTCAAAAATGCCAAACTGACAGGGATCGGCAGTTTGACAGTACAACGAAGTTAGAAAAGGTGACGTTTTTACTGCATAGGTACGCTTAAATTCATACCATAGGCTCACCACTTCACTTGGTAGCACAAATGCTTCGGCTTATACGGGCGATGAGATGCAAAAACAGCCATTCTAGTAAAGCTACACCGACGTCTATTCTCGCACTTTGGTTTTGTTTTCTGCCGGTGCCATCGGTCGCACGCTGATGGCGCGGCGAGGCGAAGTCGTTGAGCTTCCACGTGTGTGCACGTGCCTGTGGGAGAGGTGGCAGCTTCCCTTCATACTCCGCATCGGGTCGCTTGCCATAATAGGCATGCCTGGACTTCCTCCTCAAAGCCATCTAAATAGATGAGATGTTTTCTTCGAAAACAATTGATTTGAGATCATCAATTTCTTCCAAAAGTGAAGCAACCACCACTGTGTTACCCACACCCGGAGGTAATACTACGATTTAGAGCTAAAGATTGATGATGTGAAGTTATTTCGTCTTAAGTTTTTCATGGAATATTGAGCATGGCAGCGGATTCTGATTCTGATCCAAAATTTGCAATGTGCTACAAGTCACGCGTGAACACCAAATCACTAATGCCATGAAAATGAGCCCAAACTTATGAATGTCTGAGGAACACCGTTAACTTTTCTTGTAAAATTTTAATTTATTTAGCCATGTAATGTTAACCCAAAACCCAGTGGTATCATGCCGTCTTGAAGCAGCGCGAACAGAGCATCATGCATTGGGTGAATTTCCATTCCAGTAGAGCTGCTTCATTGGCTTCAGCTGTGTTATCATCATAGTAGAGGTGTTCTTCTCCTTCTATGTGATGAGATTCATCAGCACTGTCCATATCACTTTCAATGGCTGCTGATATATCAGAAGAAATATCTTCCATTACAATGAGAATCTCGTTCACTTGTTCGCTTTTAGCGTCATCGCCCTGATCTGCATTGCTCAACATGGTTGAGGCTTTCTCAGTCCAGTCTATAAGATGTTTGAGCCGTTTAGGGATGTCTCTGAGCAACTTTCGTCTCTCTGCAGCAGTTTGTCGTGACAATTTCTCAACTTCGACCTTTATTGCTTGAATGTTTTCTTCAATCATAGCCACAATATAGTTGAACTCACTAGTGTTACGCACCTTCAGTGCTTGTGAATTGTTCTTCGAAATGCTCTCGCTGATTAAGAGGTTAACTGCCATATTACCCAAGGCCGCAAGGGTTGTAATTTCATTCAGGAGCTCCTCTTGATACTCTTTATTGTCCACCTCATTATTTTCCAATCGGACGTAATCAGGGTGAGCCCGTCTCACATTCTGTTCCATAATGTTGGCAGACTTCATAGCATCATCGTGGTTGTAAGGAAAAGGTCCAACATCAAAAATCGCATCTTTTTCAAGTCGAGACTTCCGATGCGAGGGATAGTGAGGCTGCTGTAAAGATGCAAACCATTGCCTCTGATGGTTTTGGTGTTTATTACCGACAATGTGTTTTGAACCCCTATAATAGTGGATGGGTTGGAAGTCGTAACGCTCTCCAAAAGCATCTAAACGCTTGCTCCAGAAGTCTTGATCCTGTTGCGGCCAATTCTGAGGTAAGCCCATAATTCGAGCATGCTTTTTGGCTGGATGCTTGGGTAATGAGATTGGCGCGTGATGAGCAGTGTGAGCCAGTAGCCTGCTCCTACTCTCCCTTTGCTTCAGTTTATTTTTGATGAAGTCCCTATTTCTGAGCCCATTGCGACCGTGTGAAGCGATTTCTGGAGATCTATCGATAGTAGAGCCTTTGTGACCACTTCCGCGCTCATAGTGGAGTGGCCAACTGGAGGGTCTGTTCACAGTGGTGTCACCAACTGCGCCATCATTATCGTATTCAGGGCTGGATTTGATTCGAAATTCTGAGGCATAACCAAAGTGTTTATCAATGTCATACTGATTAGATCTTTTACGCGGTATCTTTTGACGCGAGTGACTCTCTTTCTGCACATGGGTTCGAGTCGTATCGTAATTTGAGACCATGTCACCGTTAGAGTTATCCAAATAAGCTGACCCAGATTGCGACGCAGCTTCGCTCAGTTCAGGTGCAACACTACGATTGAACGGCGATTCTTTAAGTGAAGTAGGTTTCAAAGCTACGACACCCCCTTTTTGTTCATTTTCTTCTTCGACGATAGTGTCTTTAAAGTTCATCTGGTAGGGCGTTTTTTCAACTCTTCCTAAGGTAGATCCTTCAGGTTGATTGGAGATGTAAGTTTCCATGAGTTTTTGGAGTTTTGCTGCAGCTTCCACTTTCTCATGATCAGTCAGTTCGTCGAATTTGTTCGATTTTAAACTAACCTTGGCAGTAGCATTATTTTGCGTTTCCGCTCCCGATAATTCTCTCCTTTTAGCGGCCAATTTTTGAGCATTCTGGAAGTAAAAAAATAATCATTTGCGTCTGTCCTACACCACATTTTATTTAGGTATTCGGCATCTTGATTCCTGTGGATGCATTCCAAGGTTAACGCATTCCCACCCTCTTTGCTGTCATTTCCAGGCAGGTGAAAATCACCTCCAGTGTAACTCTAGTAGTACCCTAGCAGTGAAAGTAGTGGAATGTAATAAAGAGGTTGGCACGCAATTAGCGAAACTATAACTCATCTTGTTATGCTGTATCACCACTTCCATTTAGCATTTAAATGACTCGCTTTTGTAATTTATACACTATTTTTTTTTAAACATTTTAATTGCGTGCAATAGGCGTTATCCTCAACGCGGTGGCCTAAAGGCTGCTGTAGATGTTTATTGTGCTTGCTCACATATTGCAGAGCGAGTGAAATGTTTCCCAAATCAAATTGAATGAGGAAATAGCACAGAATTAAAAAGCAAATCGAAAGTATTAAATTGTTACACTTAGGCCACAAACCCAGAAGTAGGAGGTACAGGTAATGACTGTCCACAGTTCGGATGCTCTATCGTTTATCTGAGGCACCGAAACCTGTGCTCCTAAGTAGACGAACTGAAATGCATCTAGATTACTAGAATACCTTATTTTATCTGGTTTAGAAGTATGTTCAATTCACTTCACGCTTTAAACTGTTCATCGTAGGTTGATCAGGAAAATGTAAAATGTACGTGGCGTCAAAGTGTTGAGAGAGTTACTTAAAGTCACTTTGACCTCAAACACCAAATTCTCACGCTGCTGAGTCACTCTAAGTGTTGAGAGAAACTACAGCGTTTAGGGCAAAGCGACACAAAAATACTTGCATACTGAATATTTGCTCGACAAACCATGACGATAACTCACCTTCTGATAGACTGTTTCACAGTAGTCCAGGACATCTTGACCAGGGCGAGCGAAAAACCTACACCCACCCTTCTTGCAGAGGACAGCACCATTCTCGCACTTGCATTCACGACATCCATCGCTAAACCTTTAAGAAGGAATTATATCCCTTCAGCGAAATGGGAGAGCAAATCCACGCTAGTTCGGAAGACTATAAACTATTAAACTCCCCATCCAACCTTGAAGAATCTTTCCCAATTTTGACAACTACACCTGTAGCAAAAATCTAGGCGCTTGTCACAGCTTTCATTAATTTACAATAACTTAAATTTTCCCAGTCAAAAGCATAGATGATTGTTTTCCTAGGTCATTTGGAGAATTCTTGCGTGGTGTGCCACGCAAATCGTAGTCTTCAGTCAGAAAAAGCGAAAACACAAACGACTACCATTTTGATCCAGCGTAACCGATAATTAATTGAAAGGGAAAAATTTAGCATCTTAAAGTGTATCGCATGCAAATCTACTGACTCACTTTAGTCCGTTTGGTTTTCCTTGACAATATTGACGATATTCGTTAATGCAGTGAACTTCGACCCTATCGTCAATGCCTTGAATTGGAGCACAAGATGTCCCTGTTGTAAGCAGGAGTGCAACCGACAAAAGAGCCCCCCACCCACTCATTTGCAAGCGAAAACTTTATGCCGTCAAAGTGAGCCGGAGTTTATGTACCTTTGAGAGTTGTAAATCACAGCTACGCCCATTTTACCCGTTGAAAGCAGTTTCAACTAAATTTATGACAATGCGGGTGGCAAATCGCCATCTACTTACCGTTGAAAGTTTTTCAATTCTACTTTTAACTGCTCTAGCACTCAAGAAAAATAAAATAATAAGAGTGTAACTTCTGGATGTTACAAAAATTTAGAGAATAGTTATGCCGTAATTTCGCTTTCTACTCCCCTAGCTAAACCTAGCGGAGCCTTTGACATTGTTGCACCATATAATGAGCGAACAGATCTGGACGAAATCTCCTATTTCAAGACCTCTTCTGGAATTCCAAAGGACATGCCGACAAGTGAGTGTTTTTGCCAACAGCTGACTAGGTCCGATAGATCCGCGTAATTTTGACCAACCGGACACCCAAACGAGCCTAAACCCCTGTACACTTTAAAAAAAACATTAGACCTGGAAAACAGCCCATACTTGCCCAACTTTTGGTGTTTACAAGCTAATAACTATCGCAGCTAAGCCATATGCCCTCAACTCTCTACGAATAAAGTAACCTCAATGAACAGTGTGCGCCGGATGAGATGGTAGAATGGCCGACGACTACTCACCTATTATAATCTACTATTTCCTCCCTCAAACTCGTCGGTAATCGTATCGTTTCATTACGTAAACATTTGAACAGCTTTGAGGCGACAATTACATTACAATGGTGTTTCGTGAAGCATCTTATAAAGCAAGCTATTCTGCTTAGAAGTGAGAACTTGTGTAGAATCCGAAGCAGATTTAGTGAATGACATTGCGGATAAGCAATATGTAAAGCTACAAATAAGCCTCATTTTGAACCTGTTTGACACCACGGTTTGCACTCAACACTATTTGAGTGACGTGAGAATCACTGCTGCACGCTGGAACCAAAGCAACAGCCGATTAAGAGATGCCACCTCATCAAGTACTTGAAAAGCCCAAAAGGAACGGAGTGCAGACTACTGAAAGTATGTAATAGAACATCTAAACCATGATCTCCTAATTTAAAAGCAGCTTAGACATTGGTTACTCAAATCGTCCTGCATGATTAATACGCTAAACAAATTTTCCAGATAAGAAAACCACAAGACTGAAAGAAAGAAGCCTGAAAGAAGCATAGAGGAAATTAAAGCACATGCATAGAAATTAACTCATAAGATGATGTACTGATGTACAAATATTCAGAAAAATTTCAACGCCATCAAGTTCGGTGACCGTAACTAATTGATTGATCGGAATGAACGCCAGAGTAAGCAGGAAAAACCTAGACTAGAGGTCCAAAAAACAAGAATCGCGAAGACAAATGAGAGAAACCAAAGGATTGACAGAACGAAGAGACTTAAAATACCAAGACTGACAATCACGAAAACCACAAACTACCAAACGCAAACCTGCACAACATGAACCCACTAAACAATAGAAAAATGACAGAGCCCAAACACAAAGACCAATGCCAGAACCAAAAACGTCATATAATAACGTAAATTTCATGACAAATAGCCAAAAGTACAATATTTACAATTAAACTTCTACAAATTATTTCCTCGACGGCCTAGACAACGCGGAAGCTTGGGCAGTCGGCAGCTTAGGAGGAGGAGCAGGAGTTTTCGATGTCTTCAAACTGGA